AACTCCAACGCTTAAAATATTAAATAAACAGAGCGGTTCATAACCTCCAAATTTCATAAGCTCCAAATCTATAACATTCAAATAATCACTGTTTCACAATGTCCAAGTTTCACAAACTCCAACGTTTAAATATTAAATAAACAGAGCGGTTCATAATGTCCAAATTTCATAACCTCCAACGGTACAGTCTGGGCCAGAAGTCTCTCTAGTGGTTGCCACAGTCAGATAGCAGGCACCGTTCGCCATCGCTCAACTACTGATTATACGTACATTTTAATGATTGAAGAACACTCAGATGTGTGACTCAAATATGTGTTAGCACACAATGTGCAAATCAAATTTACATTTTAGCGAATTTCCCCTATAGGGACAGTGGCGTAACAGTATTTCCCCGGGCCCCCCCGCAAAAATGTCTGTGGGCCCCCTACTACCCCTCCCATTCCCCACCACAGCACTATATACCACAACCATCACCACACCACAACTATCACATGACGTAGGTGACGGCAGGCATACGGCCTACACGATCAGACTGGCAGAGGATGGTCTCTAGCAATATCAAGTATTTACCTATTCTTCAACCACACGACCAGAGTCGTCCTTGAAACATATTTTATATTTTGTCACTGTCACAGTGATAATAAACTTGGGAGTTATGTCCGTGATTAATATATATGGGCTACTCCATTACTCCACCATTCACATTCATTACTAAACTCAACCAAGCTTCCAACTATAATTTGAGTCGGGACCACGAAAGTTTGCAGTTGAGGGAGTAGCCTATTTACCATTTGACTTCAAATGAGCCAATGAGGGCAGTGCGGTGTTGCCAAATCGAATAATACCAGCTGTTTTAAAAATATTGTTTAGTATTTTAATTAGTGTCGTCAAAGGGCGATATGGCAACGTCTTTACTAGTCTTGTGATTGGCTGCCGCCAACTGCAAACTTTCGTGGTCCCAACTGTAAATGTTAGTGCTTCACTAAATTAGCCCAATTTAATGACATGACACCTGATTGAGAAACTCTCGCGACATGCACTACTGACGAGTCACTCGCAATCCGCATGGAATGTATCTCCAAAATCAGGTGATCTACGGTCAGCTGAGTACACGTGAGCGGTTAGTGGGGGAGGGGGGAGGGCCGAGGGGCTGGCTCCTAGTGTGTGTCGCCACGGCGCGGCGGCAGGCCGACAGGCAGGCACACGGCTCCTAGCGCTAGCATGAAGCTACACAACCACACTGACAATACACATCGTCGGGTGATCGTAGTGAGCGTTGGCGTTTCGTTAACAATATTGTTAATTAAAAGATAAAACTTTAGTAGATTTGGCAGAATAAAAGTATCTACCAACACATCGTTTTTTATTTATAATTTGTCAGGAGAGAAAAACATCCGTGAACAAAGGATCGGTTTTACGGTTTTATGAGAAAAAGGTATCTTAACCTCGCGGGCCCCTAAACCTCGCGGGCCCCCCCGCACCGCGGGGTCTGCGGGGGCGGCTGTTACGCCACTGTATAGGGAATAAGCTATTACCGTAGTACTCATGGTAAGACCTGGTCCCGGGACCGATTTACTTTTTCGTTTTGAGGTCCCTAGAGACCAAAAACACCATCAGTTATATATATATATATTTATATGTGTGTCCGTTAGCCCGATAACTCGAGCAAAAATCATCCGATTTTGATTAAATTTGGTACAAACGTGTAAACCTACGTTTATTCGAACGAGTTCGCGAACCAGCATGATCGGACTATGGGAACTCTTAAAATTCTGCTAAAATACTTGCTACTCTTAAGAAAGCAATTACGGAGCAACAATGATACTTCGTGTTACACCGCTACAACAGTAGAACGTGTAGCGCCTACATACCGAACCACGGCAACCACTGCAGCGACTTCTGGCAGAGACTGTACCGTTGGAGCTTATGAAACTTGGAGGTTATGAACCGCTCTGTTTATTTGATATTTAAACGTTGGAGTTTGTGAAATTTGGACATTGTGAATCGGTGATTATTTGAAAGTTATAGTTTTGGAGTTTATGAAATTTGGAGGTTATGAAACGCACTGTTTATTTAATATTTTAGACGTTGGAGTTTGTGAAATTTGGACATTATGAACCTCACCCGGTAATTTGTAACAAATCTTATTCTCTTTCAGAATATCACCTCTCACTTTGGTCTATTTCCTTACCGTTTAAAAGTTATTTGCAAAAAAGCTTTTAAGCAACCTCTGAATTTAAGTGGTGATTCAGTTTTATATCTTATAACTTAATCTAATTCAGTGATTTAATTAAGTTACTGTATGGATTCAGTATTAAACTCTTGAAGGGCCATTTTAAACTCAAACAACAATTAACACGAATGCTACGGTATACAGAATACCCTACACCATAGAGAAATAATAAAAATAACTTCTCTGTGCCTACACTGTCCCTGTTTGAAATATGAATGCGTGTAGACAGTCCAGTCAAGTACCGGGCGAGTTGAACAAATCAACAACTGGACCTAGTAACTGGGCCGAATAACTCGTCTGTCATACTCGACCCATGTAAACCAGGCTTAAGATAACTATTGTAGTTTGCTCGTTTATGGATACATTTTGATCAAACTTGGCAAACTTACTTATTTTATATTAAGCTATAAATATTTTGCTAAAACACACTTTATTACCCTCCCTGTAGTAGGATACTTACAAGTAGGTACTTGTAGGTACTTATTAAATCTCATGCTATTTAAATAGATTTAATTGAAAGTCCAGTCAGGTAAATGGAAATTCGCTTAGTCTGCAGGTTTGCTGCAGCGGGGGTATATAAATATATATATATCTTTACTCTTTCGAAGGGGGAGGGGGGGGAGTCGGGAGGATGTATGCGGCTGCTAATTTTTTTCTAGTTAATAAAATATTTATATTTAAGGTACGGCTGTTTATAACCAAACTCTCAGTTGAAAAAATTCCATTTAGGATCCATATTTTTATTGCAGTTAACAGTTTCCTATAAGATTTTTTTTTTTTTTTTGAAAAACAAAAACCTAAAAAAAACTTTTATCAAATACACTTTGAGAGTACAGTAACAAAATTGTCCGGAATTTAATAATAAATTTAAATATAACATTATTTTAGTTAATATGTAAACAAACAATACTTTCTCCATATACTATGGTATAGGGGGAGAAAGTAAAAACATGCTAATGAGGTAATACCAGCATGATGTCCACTTAAACCTGCCCCCGGGCAAGACTAAAGTTGCAGCTTAACTCACTATTTTTTTTTTTTTTAATTCTATATATGTATGCCATTTTACTTGGTGTGCTACTCAAATATATAAGTAGCAGTCAGCATAGTTTAAATATTCATCATGGTGTCGCAACATATAAAGCGAAGATACTGTTTTATCACTAAGGACTTACCATAATAATGCGTTTAATTATTACCATCCTGTGGTATGCTGGAGGTATTACGTGATTTACTATGTTGAAACTAATTATAGCCAAACAAATAATGATATGCTTAATCAATCCATACTCTATTATAAATTCAGAAAGGTCGTCCCATAGAAGTTTGTGCCAATAGAGGAAGATGGGGTGAAACTTCAGGAACGCATTCCCCATATCATTCTGAAACAAGTAACAACAGTTGAACATAAAAAATAGAGGAACATTGACCACCTTAATAAATTTAAAGCTTGAAACCAATAAAGCATTGTATGATTTTAATTAGTTCTATATTAATTTAGTTGTAATGACATCAATAAATGTATCTGTATATCAAACAGTACAAGTTAAGTTATTTTTAATTTAACTAAACATAAATTAAAAAAACTTGCTTGCAAAAAATATCAAGAGCAAAAATTTCAAAAAAAGATCTTGAAAAGCGTCAAAGTTTCATACCATGAGGGTCTGATCCAAAAGGACTGTTTACCAATAAATAACATGGTAATAGTTTATGGGGTTTGAGCTACCTTTCAGTTTTTGATCTTTTGGTTTCAACATTGCATTTCTATTTGACTGGAAAAAATATTGTATAGTAGCCTATAGTCCCCTGTCAAATGTACACCAGGGCCGATTTACCGAATAGGCACGGTAGGCACGTGCCTAGGGCGCGAGGTGATTGGCTTTTTTGGGGGCGCCGAAAATTTGGAAAATAAAGAAAAATTGGTGGTTGTATTTGCATGCGATCGCGGTTAACTTCTGATAATCCCTCACGGCCGTGTAGCAATAGTAATCGTCTCCCGTGTTTGGGGCAAGATTCTCATTATTTTCCGCGGTCGGGTCATTTAGACATAGGGCCTAATTATCGTCTTCCATGATTGAGGCAATATATGAGCATATCCCGCGGTCGTGAGGAGATTATCATCGTCTTGCGCGATCGCGGACAAATTCTGACCACTCGCAGCCGTGAAGACATCATTACATCGTCCTCCGCGGTTGTGTGGGCATAGCAATCGCATCCCGCGATTGTGGTATAATGGTAATCATCTTCCTCGGTCTTGTGAAGATCATCATCCTCTTTCGCAAATTAGGCAAAATTCAGACCTTTTCCTGCGATTGTTATCATCGTATTCCGCGATTGCGGCAATATTCTGATCATCCCTCGCGACCGTGAATAAATCATTATTTTATTTTATTTTATTTACATGCTTCAAAACAGTATACACCATTTACATTGAAGCAGTTCATGCACTTATAATAATTTCTTCAGTGGGTTTCTTCTTGTCCATTCACTTCAATCTAACTTACACTTTCATACCATGCAATAACAACATAAAAAATACAATTTTCAATAACTATAACAACAATATATACATATTTAAAAAAGACTAACAATGATAAATTATATAAATACGTAAATACTGAATAGTAAAAAAATACAACAGAGTGAATAGAAATATATTAATGATTGGTGAATAATACTGTTTTTAATTTGAATTTGAAATTTTGCATGTTGTCAGAGAAAATATCAATACTATTCCATTTTTCTATTGCCAAATTGTATTCTTTCATTAATCGATAGAGGGGGGAGGAGGCATGGGCAGTGGTGCGGCTGTAGGGAAACGAGAAGAGATGTTTGTTCCTACTATTGAAGCAGGGCACGCGATAAGACCGACCGGCCAGGCCAGCGGCGTCATCAACCTCTCCAGTTTGTACAGGAACACCTGACCTATGATCTTTCTCCTCAGGTCTAGACTCTGCAGCCCAAACAGGTGTAACAAATCATGATATGGAATTTTGTACGTATAAATATTGAAACATTTGTAAAATAGAAATCTTAAAAACTTTTTCTGGACTTTCTCCAAAGCATCTTTGAACTGTAAATGATATGGATTCAAAATTATGGAACAGGTTTCTAATCTCGATTTGACCAACGAATGATAAAGCATAATTAAGGTTTCAATGTTTCTAAAATTTGTACTTTGTCTAACTATAAATCCTATCATTTTACTTGCAGCAGCAATGCATGTTTCAATATGAAAATTAAAAGATAGTACAGAAATCATGTGAACACCTGAATCTTTAATTTTGTTTACTCTACTAATTTAAATGCCATTTAAGAAATAGTTATTTTGTAAACAATTTTGAGTCCTAGTAAAAGTCATTAGTTGGCATTTGGAAACATTAAAGTCATTTTGCTTTAAACACTCCATCTGTAAACATTATCAAGATCTTCTTGTAAGCTATTTGCATCCTCAAGACTGTTGATATGCTTAAACATTTTTAAATCATCGGCAAAAAGAAGTGAATTTGAATTAAAAATACAGTCGCTTAGATTATTAATTAGTATTGTAAAAAGACAAGGCCCTAGATTTGAACCCTGGGGAACCCCAGATTGGACATTAAATATAGCAGAGGAAAATCCATGATAGAAAACAAATTGTTTCCTATTCACAATGTAAGATTTGAAAAATTGCAATAAATCATTTGACATGCCATACCAATGTAGTTTCTGCAACAAAAATTGAATGGCCAACCTTATCAAACGCTTTGGCCAGATCAAGAAATAATGTGTCTGTCTGAACCCCAGAACTAGTAAAATTTAATAAATTTGTGTTGACTGACCTTCCTGGGACAAACCCATCATCATTTGAAATGTATTTTTGAAAATGTCTGAATAAATATTTGTGAATAATAATCTCAAATATCTTAGCCGGTACAGATAACACTGCTACCGGTCTGTAATTTAAAACTTTGGATTTTTCGCCACTCCTAAAACTACTTACTTACTTACTTTTGTTGTTTTCCATCTTTCCGGAAATATATTAGTTTTCAAGCTTAAATTGCATAAAAATTCTAAAGGCCCAACTAAAAATTCGAAACAACCTTTAAATAAATATTGTGGGAGTAAATCTGGACCAGTAGTACATTTTGATTTTAAATGTTTGATTGCGTCCTGCACATCCTGACAGCTGAGGCGAGGCAGTGTGAGGCAAGACGCGCCGGCCAGACACGGCCCCTCCACCGCGCACTCCACACTAGGCTCTGTAGTGTAACTCTCGTACACAGAACTAAAATATTCCGCGAATGCATTTACAACCGCTCCTCCGTTATCCAGTCTTACTCCATTGTGCTCGATTATCATAATTTTATTTCGTTCAGATTTTTTACTTTGAATAAAATTCCAAAACTTACTGCTATCAACATTTATACAATCTTCCACTCCATTTACATAATTGCAATATGCTAGATCAATTTCATTTTTTACTGCTGTTCTCTGAACTTTAAATAAGTTTTTTCATCAGTATTTACTTTTTTCCACCTCCTTCTAAGTTTTTCTTTACGATTTAAATTATAAATAATAGAAGGGATTATAATTATAAACCAAAAGGGATATTTTGATTTTTTATTTTTCTTTAATGGGCAGTTTTTACCAATTATTTCATAAAGTGTGCTGTAAAAACAATCTAGAGCCTCATCAATGTTCAAAATGGAATATAAATTTGACCAGTCAGCCTGTTGTAAATCTTCGTATATTTGTAGAAAATTGGCTCGTCTGAAACAATAACCAGCTGACTGGGTTGACCTTGAACGACCAGATAACGAGTAGCAGTAGCCAACACAACAATTACCTCCAAAGCAGGATGATAAAGATCTTCACTAACTAATTGTTCACCGCTTCTCGTCACCACTACTTCCTCACAATTTGATATGACTAAATCCAATGTTTTATTTTGAAAGTTTCGAATGTCATTTTTTAAATTTAAACCATGCATATTCAAAAATATAAACAATTCTTTACATATTGTCCCCTTGATCCAAGCAAAAGTCTTGACCATAGATTGAAATATTAGAATCTCCTAATACAATAATATCACAGTTTGATAATGAATTTAATTGTAAAAAACAATAAAAAAATCTTTAGTATGCTACTAACGGTGACCTTGGCCTGAAAAAAACAGTACAAATATACAATCCTCTCCCCTTGCTATTTACAGCTTTTACACAAACACTTTCACAACCAGGAATTGAATCATTAAAAATTTCGACTATGTTACACAATATATCATTTCTTAAGGCTAACAATACTCCCCCTCCTCCCTGTCTGCCTGAAATTTCTAAATTTCTGTCACATCTAAATACATTAAAACTATCAGGAAAAAATTCCGATGAATTAATACCAGGTTGTAGGTTTGTTTCTGTTATAGACACAATTTTGTAATTGCTTGTTAAGATGTTACTAAAGAAAACACTAGATTTTGTTCTCAGACCTCAGACATTTTGGTAGTGAACTAGATTCTCGAAATCATTTTTTACCATGAACAGGTTTTAATAAAAAAAATAACATAGAACAATTTCATAATATTTGGGTTAATATGGATTATAAATACAGCAATAAATAGAAAATAAATAATAAATAAAACAATAACATTTAAGAAGTCGATGAATATTATACATAAATAGATAAACAACATATTGTATACACATGCAAAAATAAATTAATTAAATACTCATGAAGAAGTTGAACGTGCAATTGTATATAAATTTGATATAAATAAATTATGACATAGAATATTAGAATATAAACTAAGCATTTGATTAGGCTACTTACAATTACAGTCATTGTTATACATGCTGTCAATGTCCACGTCCGACCTAATCTTGATAGCATCAGTGTCCTTATTTTGTCGCACGAAGATGCTGCAGTTCGCCGTCCACACCTGGCTGTAGCCTTTGGCCTTCGCCGCATCACGTGTCTTCTTCAGCAGGTCCCTATTCTCTGGAGTCAATGATTCGTTGACGTAGATCGAGTCTTCGCTGCTTTAGCCAAGGTCCGAAGCTTTAAGATTGTGGCGTTCTTTGCGTTTATTTCGAAAAGCGTCCTTTTCCAGACGTCTGACGAAGCGTATGATGATAGGTCTACGATGTATTCGTAGGTTCGTACTTCCCCATTCGATGTACAGCATCAACTAATTTCTCCGATCAATCTTGGAAATGTAGAGCAGTTGCTAACCGTCTAATAATGAAAATTATTTTTTTCATTGTTTTCCTCCGGGATACTATAAACAATTAAATTATTTCTGTGTGAATACTGTTCAAGATCACGAACTTCACGTTGCACTTTTTCAACTGATTTTCCGAATTAATAAGTGTCCTTCTTAGTCTTCTGTACCTCGTTCTCACACTCTCTTATCTTTAAATCTTGAGTAGATATTAATTGTTTAAAGTCATTGATGGTTGCATGGCATAACTCAATAGACTCGCACATGTCTTTTTCTTCTTTTTTAATTTCAACGATGTCATTAGAATTTCTATTGTATCTCCCGCGGTCCTGTAGACGTCGTAATTATCTCCCGTAGTCGTGAAGACATCATAATCGTCTCCCGCGATTGCGGAAAAATGGTAATCATACCTCGCGGACATATGGAGATCATCGTCTTCCATGAATGAGGCAAAATTCTTATCTTTTCCCGCGGTCATGTGGACATTATCATCATCTTGCGCGATTGTGGCATAATTCTGATCATCCCTTGCAGCCGTGCAAGGCTTAGGCCGTGCAATCATTAGGCTGTTGCATCTCCCGTGGTCCAGTATACATTGTAATCGTCTCCCGCAGTCGTGAATAAATGGTAATCGTCTCCCGGAGTCGTGAATACATCGTAATCGTCTCCCGCAGTCGTGAATACATGGTATTCGCGATTGCGGCTAAATGTTAATCATGTCCCGCAGTTCGAAGGAGATCATCATCGTCTTCCAAGATCGTGGCAATATTCTGATCATCCCTCGCAGCCGTGCGTAGACATATATCATCGTCTCCCGCGGTCACAGAACACTGTTGTCATGCGCGATCATGGTAAATTGAAAACTCCAGGTAGAAATACAACATTTACACATAATTCCTGATTCAAAAAACTCCCGCATGATTCCCGGATTTCCCGGTCGGTGGACACCCTGTTATATATATTGCAAAGGTGCGCTACTATTAGTTGTGCCTAGAGCGCTGACAGGGTCAAAAACGGGCCTGATGTACACCTGTGTGCTCCTTGATGAGGCAAGTGTGGGAGTAGTCTTAATCTCTTCGTTTGACCTTTGAGAAATACAATGGTGCGTTTGAATGCTGTGAGTAAAAAACAAAATGGCCGCTGTCGCAAACTTGTTTTCTTATTTATATCAGTAACCGTTAGATTTATGAAAGAATTGTTGATATCAAAATGTAGCTATTTTAAATTTGCACAAAAAAGATTATTACAGTTTTTTATGGAGGATCAAACCATTCTTTCATAAAACGTAATTTTTATTTTTCATAAATAAAAATTAATCAGGGTGGAAAAAATGTCACAGGACAGTTAAATATTTCAAAAAGTAATAAATATAGAGCTTCAAAACTTGGTACACAGTTACTAGGCATTTTAACATATATTCAGTGATGCACTACCTCCTCAGGGGGACGGCCCGCTAGGAGTCAGAAGAAAATCTTAGACGTAAGCATAGGTTGATATGTATACCAAATTAAAGGTCTTTGTTAGTTAATTACAATGACACAAACCGGAACTCAAACGAACAACGGAGTCAAAAATGACAACTATTCAAAGATGCATTGAGTTTGCATTGCTATTATACACTAACTCCACAGGGAGGCACCCGCTAGAAGTCGGATGAAAATGATAAACATACTGTATGCATAGGTCGATATGCACGTCAAATTAAAGGTCTTGATTAATAAAATACAATGCCAAAATTTGAGCTCAAGATAACATCTGAGTAAAAAATGGCAGCCGTTCAAAGATTCAAAATGGCATATTCAAGATATCTTTGAACGGCTGAAATTTTCTTCTGACTCCTGGCTGAGGAAGTCCCCCTGAGGAAGTAGCGCAATACTGAATAATGTGTTAAAATCATTGTAACACCCAGTAACTGTGTACCAAGTTTTGAAGCTCTATATTCATTACTTTTTTAAATATATAAAAATTTCAAGCCATTTTGTTTTTTTCAAACACACCATTTTCAAGAGAGCCACCATTGAAATTGTATTTCTCAAAGGTCAAACGAAGAAATTAAGACAATACCCACACTTAGGTACGTCATTAAGGAGCACACGGGAGCCTGTATATGTACATTTGACAGGGGACTACTAATTCAAATAAATAACAAAATCAAAGATATAAAGGGAAAACTTAAACTACTAAACCGTCCAAAAATACTGCCCAACTATTGTAATTTAAAATGTGAAACACCCACAAACACACAAAATTACCAAATATAGTATAAAATGTAAAAAAAATTGTTTTAACTTCAAGAGAAAGTACGGTACCTATGTGTTTGATGATTAAATGTTACATGATGAGTATGCTAATGAGTAGTAAATGCTACGTCAAACAATAAAAAAACATACAATCAGTGGCATATCCAGGGGGGGGATTTTGGGGTTTGAACCCCCCCCCTTGACTTTAAAACGTCATATTTTAATGCAAGTTTACAGGTCTAAGTTTCAAATGTTTCCTGAGGGAGGTCCCCCCCATTCCCTGGGGGGTATTACATACCCCAGACCCCCGTTGCAACCCCCCCCCCCCCATCCTAGTTATGCCTATGAACACATAATACCGTACTTACTTAGTGAAAAAGTGTTTTATGTCTTTTGGTTTTCAGCTGACATTTTCTGACCCCCAAATTTAGTAGTAATAGTCTCTTTAGAAGTACAAAGAGAGTACCGTACTCCTCCATTTGCCATTTGCATTGACACTAAAGGTGGGTTTTCCTAGCTGCCAAATTTGGCAGGTGCACTACCACGAAAAACCAAGTTTGCTCGGCGTTCACAATGCCACAGCTGTAGGGTCATTTATATTCCAGCAGACTGGAAACCTTGCCTAAAAACTTAAGGATTAGCAGAGAGATATGCAGACAAGAGGAGAAAGTACTGTACTGTCTAAAGCCTGACTCAGATAACCAAGAGAACCCGCTGTCTATGAGAATCATACGAAATCTTTAATGTAATATGGTGCTTATGACATACGTTTAAGGTTCATAATTCAATAATAATAAATTGTATGTTTTTTTAAATAAATTTAAAGTAGGCCTAAGCAAATTACATAAAATAAATTTCAACTATTGTATAGTTTTCCAAGATAAGCACCTGATGGGGATCCGGCGTGAGTGAGAGTGACACATAGAGCATAAGAGGGATAAAAATAATCCAGGTCGCAAAATAGTAATACTCATATACTGACATGACTTCATTTCGACAATATAGAAACAGCCACATTCCTAATTGATAAATCATTGGGTAATCTGGCATCTCAACTGCAACAAAAGAAAAGCACATCATGAATCGCATGTACAATCACATGGACAAGTCAGTGTAATTATTGGTGGTCTTAAGATTTACCAACTTTATGAGTGAATAATGCTAATTTATCAATTAATGTTGTATTATTTGTGGAATTTTAGCAAATGCCATTCTGAATTATTTCTTAAAACGCAATAGGGTATTAAAAGGTTAAATTGGAATATTGATTATATTAAAAGGAACAATGACAGATACGAGTCTGTTTTAAATTTAAATAAAAAGGGTCAAGTGGACATTGGACTTTCCTAGCAGTATTATCTAGCCTATAGAATGGACCCCATTAGACATAAGGATAAAAAATATCAACTGAATGATTGAATGAATGAATGAAAAAGTTAATATACAAAATAAGTGGGCCTGCATACAATGAATTCTTAGCTGTAGATACAACAATGATCATTAAGACCGTCTGTTGTGGCTGGGGTAGTGGCGTACCTGGTCATCAGCTCTTAAATAAATATCAAAGAGCAAAAATTAAATTAATTAAAGTAAACTGTACTTCTAAATCAAATTAAGAAACACAAGAAAAACATTTTTCGTACAATGGAGATATTTTAACAAAAAGAACGAACATGTATATTTATTTCTTTTTTATTTAAAAAATATCAATTGCAGTTTCCCTAAAAAAAAAAATTAGCAAAACATCAATTTCAATAAAAAAGACGGCTATTCAGAAAGTAAGTAACGTTTCCGCTCGACACTGGGTGGAGCACACTAAATGCACACATTCAAGTACAGAGGTGTACTTTTTACTGTGCAGCTGCTGTGATTAGAGCTGCAAAAATAAAATATAAGCCAACTCAAAGCTTAATGGTTACAGATGCATACATGAAAATTGAGACTTACGTTTCTCAGTTACGTTTAATGTATAATTCTTGCTGCTTACAATTCCAAAGCATGTTTTCTTGTGTGGATCTATATTGATACGGAATTTGGACAAATCAAAGATGTAGAATTTAAAAACTGGTTTTTTGTCTCTGAACTTTTTCAACACTTCTTGATTATTTTTACCCCAGAAAAGACTGAAGTCATCGTGGCGAAGAGATATCACTGCCTACAAACAAGAAATTAGTGTTTTATGTAGTATAGAATAATAACATTAATCATAAATACATAAGTTATATGAAAATCCATAATCCAATTCATCCCAACAAACTAAAGTATTTAGGTAAACAGGAGCTGATTATGTGTTCATTTAGATCACTAATGCTTGGTTTTTGTCTGCAAAAACTGTTGTGTGGTGTAACTGACATAAGAGGTACCTACCTAATGTAAGCTAATCTTAAACATTTGTAAATGTTTTAACCCTTAACACTTGGACCCTGCTAAACATATTGATGCAAAAGTTACATGATTATAATATTTTATCCATTATGTAAAGCTACACGAGTACTATAAAAGGTTACCTCTGCAGTTGTGATACTCAGTTTCAGATCATTGCCATGGTAACAGTAAATCGTAGGGTTGCTTTTGTTCAGTGATTCATTGCAGCATGAGAAAATGGATCCATTTTTGAGATTGTTACCTGAAATTGAAATTAAGTATTGTCACTTTGTAAAACTATATTTTTACTAATAGCCTACTAAATAGAAGTTTTAAAAGGTAAAAAAATTGATTGGTGTTCACCCAATAGAAAACTAAACAATAAATACTGAACAAAATAAAATTGATTTGCTATTACTGTCTATAAAAATGGGTAGGCCTAATAGGCCTTGGCCAAAATTTGAACGTCATGAATGAGCAAAGCATAAAGTCATTGGAAGTCTAATAAAAATATACAAAGTGTGATAAATAGATTAGCAATAAAAACTGGAATTTAACCCCCTGTCCATATATAAGTAGGGTTTAGGCAACTGTAGATGTGGATTTTTACCCCCGGAATTTTAACCCCCGGATCTTTACCCCCTGACCAGATATAGAAATTATTGAGAATGATTCATCTTCCTCTTTCAGTTTTAATTTAATATTAAACATTTTATAATTAAGTAGCCTATCTTAATTTATTTGTAATCTCAACTAAGTAAACAGATTTCGCTGTTTAATTTTGATATTTGGGATTTGGGTTTGGGACCAACTGTTGGTTAGTATGTATAATAAACTGAGTACTGTATCTCATTTAAATGATAATTGGGTGAACATTTCTCAAATGATTTATTATACCACCGTGTGGAATAAAATGTATTTCGTTTCTGTTGTACAATAACTAAATATGCCTTTTTGTTTCTTCAGGCACAAACCATGAACTATTTATGGTTTGTACTGAGAAGGTCATTGAAATAACACGACCAATTGTTGAGTTGACTACTGCAAGGAAACCCAAATGTAGATACATATTAACCAACAGTTGGCCCCAAAAATCGAATCCCGAAACTCGAATATTAAAATTAAATATCAAAACCTGTTTGATTAGTTAAGTTACAAATAAATTAAGATAAGCTACTTAATAATAAAATGTTTACTATAAAATTAAAACTGAAAGAAGAAAATTAATCATCCTAACTTATATCTATATCTAGACAGAGAGTAAAATTCTGGGGGTAAAAACCTGGGGGTAAGAATCAGGGGGGTAAAATTTTGGGGATAAAATTCCGGGCCGTACATTTTGAGCTGACCTCATGAAGGGATTGAACTACCGTCCAATAGCGATTCTCTCAGTCATCTAAAAGATCTTCGAGAAAGTCGTTCTGCATAGATTCAAGTCCATCATCTCGCCATTCGTCTCCCCCAATCAACACGGCTTCTTGACTGGCCGCTCCTCTTCCACAAACCTGATGATCTTTACAACAGATATCTTTGATCCATTTGCCAATCTTCGCCAGGTCGATGCAATCCAACTCGATTTTGTGAAGGCTTTCGACGGTGTCAGTCATAGGCTCCTAGTGGAAAAGTTAAGGACCATTTGGCTTTGACGGCTGTTTCATTCGATGGATCGCTAGCTATTTGCAAGACAGAGTCCTACAAGTCAGGTACAACGGTTCACTTTCTCATCACTTTTATGCCATCTTGGGAGTTCCACATGGTTCCTTGCTTGGTCCCATACTATTTATCTTGTTTATAAATGATATCCCTACAGACCTTCAATGCAGCTTCCAACTATTCGTTGATGATCTTAAGCTCTACCAAACAATTTCATCCATTGATGACCTCGACATTCTCCAGATTATTCTAGATTCTGTGGCCTGGTGGTGCATTAGGAACAAGATGTCCTTAAATGTCAACAAATGCAATTATATCACCTTTCATCAGCCTGTATCCAACCCCGTCCGAAGGAACTATACGATTGATGGCAAATAGCTTGCTAGTTGCTTGGAGATTGGGGACCTCGGCGTGTTTTTCACCCCAAAGCTCAGCTGGGATCGCCATGTACACTCTGTCTGCAACAAAGCCTTGCGCTACCTCGGCCTAATTCATCGAATCTCATCAACCTTCAATAGCATCTACTCGCTAAAGCTGCTAACTTATTTCATTCCCTTGTGAGACCCCACCTGGAATATTGTGACATTATCTGGTCCCCTCACCAATAATATTTGAAGGACGAGCTGGAGAGTGTGCAAAGAAGTTTGTGCGCCTCGTGGGTACTCGCCTGGGATACAGGTTCCTTGAGGCTCCTATTAATGATCTGCAATCCCTCCCCCGGTACTTGCTCCACTGACCTCTTCACCAGGGTAGCAGCTTCCTCAAATTACGTAAGGAACAGTCAACTTGTTCAAAGGCACAGGAACCTAATACCTGGAAACCTCGACATCTTCTGCTGCAGCTCATCCATCTTTAAAAGAAATCTGCTTGAGGCGCAAGTTAGTGATGGTGTTCAGTGATCGGTGGCTCTTAGTGATGTGCAATAGGTCTCATCGCCCCGGGTTGATGTTCTGATTATGTCTTTCTCTAATTTGTCTGTTTCTTTTTTGCATGTAATGGTTTTCGTTGTTAAATTGAGCATATTATAAATTATAAGGCATTGTTTGATCGTGTAATATCGGTTTCCTTGTAACTTAAGTATTTTCTAGTCAAAACTTGCAATTTCTCCCCCATGATTATACTTGTCCTATTATTTGCTTTACTATATATTGTTGCTGCCTAGAATGGAAAAACTCACTGTTTCTGTTTGAGATCTTGTTAGTGTTTGTTATCATATTGTAAATTAATTTATTGTGTATTTTATGTTCTGTTTTTGTTCTTGTTTCAATTTTGTTATTGTTATTGTTATTGTATGTATTGATATTTCTCGTTTACTGATCTGTTATTGTCTCTTTTGTTGTATTGTTAAACATATTGTTCTTTGCCTTTGCTTGTGAAATTTGTTGCACAGTTATCATGTATTTATTGAATTGTTCATATAAAATTGGCAATTTTGCCGTTGAAATAAATTAAATTAAATGAAAAGGGGGTAAAAGTCTGGGGGTAAAATTCAGGCCCATTGTAATGGGCACAATACACTCTATGTTTGTATAATTTGATGTATTCTGATTAAATTCACAACCGTAAAAATATACGTTTAATTCCACCATTAATCCATCGAACTGATATTATGCAACTCAAAAGTCTGCGGCCGGAATTTCACCCCCTGGTTTGTGACATAAGTTTTGCCCAGGGGGATAAAAATCTGCTACCCCTAAAAATGTACAGTGCATTCTCAATGTAACAAATTTGTTGATATAACACTTGTTTTTCAAATCCGTTACAACCCTCGATACGTAGGCTTATCTACAGAGTGTGGCAAAAAACCGATCCATTTTCTGCAACACACTGTTCAGCTTCAGGTTGTCTGAGCGTGGTGGGAGTAGACTCGTTGGAAAGCCTACACATTGCCATTATCTGTAGTCATATCACCTGAGCAACCTGCATTTGTTAATGAGTCATATTTAAAAAGTACTGATTCAGTCATAACAACTCAGTGGCAGTTCCATGCATTCTTCCAATTAGGTCGACATGGAGAGGTTCTGTTGCATAACAAAATCATGCGGTAGATTACTAACTTTAGAACAACAGCTTCTGCGATCAAAAAGAAGCTAACAGGTCGTCCAAAGCAGATCGGATGCCAGACAACTAATATTTGAAAGAGTTTGTGGTGTTGTGGAAAACAGTCCCTGTAGAAAACAAGCGGCTGCTTTGAACATGTCTGATAACTCAGATACACGGATTTTGAGGTTCGATCTTAAATTTCATCCCTAAAGATAAATTTGAATTAATATGTTCAAATTGTTTAATTATCCATACAGATAGTTGCGACGGAACCTCTCTATGTTGACCTAATTGAAATAATGCACGGAACTGCCACTGATTTACAATGACTGAATAATAACTTTTTAAAACAACTTGATAACAAACACACATAAGTTAAGTTAGCTCAGGTGAACACTGTTCTATGACGAGGCTACTACTAAAATTTTAAAATACTTTGATCAGATAAATAAATAAAAAGATTGTAATGGCATAACTTAGTAAGTTTTAGCATATAGGCCTAGGCCTATAACCAAGATAGGCCTAACTAGACCTAGGCCTAGCACGCAATGCAGACCAAATGTCTTAGGGTTAATGAAATATGGTTAACGAATGCATTTTGAATGTAGGCCTAAACAAGTTTTAAGACTTAGTATATACATTAGTCAACTAAAAACACTACAAAATTAACATATAATAGTCATAACAATATTACTTCTCAGCTAAAGGCTTAGAGCTAAAGCTTAGGCCTACCATGTTTTGTGGCAACTTCTACGATGTTTGTGGTAGCTTCCAACTGCTCGGCAAACGCTACAGCGAGATATAAACAAGTCACAAAGAAACAAAATTTCTTTTTTTCTGACATTTCTTTGCAATATTGACTGGAAATATCACTAAAATAGAAAACAGTAAACTAAAGTTTAAAAAAATATTCCTCCAAAGTTCCAGCAACCAACTCCAAAACGAAATCTAGTGTCAAAATTCAAACACGAAATGGTAAGGGTAAGGGCATTAGTTGATTGTTGCTTCTTATTCTTTTTTAACTACCGGCAGGCAATAAATTTAGCCATGCAGTTTGCCTATATACTACAAGGTACTACATAGTACCTGAATCATAGATGGAAAGTATTCCAATGTGTGCTTCAGTATTTAAAGTTATTAATCGTGATATACTTAGTATTACATGTACAATGAATTATCACACTCTAATACCCCCGCCACAGTAAACCTGCAGTCTAAGCAAATTTCAAATTTCCATTTGCCAGGTTGGATTTACACTATCACCTTAAAAATATCACATTTATTCCCTATTTGTGATGTGGAAAGCGAAAAGTGACATTTTGTCGGAGATGCAAAATTTTCAGTACGGCCGATATAAGTAACTAAGGTAGAAAATATTGAGTTTCGAGGTTTTATCGATTTATATACCTCATTTAGCATAGAAAATGGCAGTATCAGTTAAAATATCGAATTGAAGATGCAAAAGGTCGAAAAAATAACTTTTTTTAGCCTCTGCACGGTGTGATTAGAGGTACCTCTTGTCGCTGAATGTTATTTCACCATAACGACAAGAGGTCCCATTTCTAATATTCACTTTTTAAACAGATTTTAGTCCAAAAATTAATTGTCCTGTATTCTAGTGGAAATTTAGAGAACTACATAAAAGTTCAGTTCACGGAGAACAAAATAACTCACAATTTTTGTGGTTCCGACAAGAGGTACCTTTTCTTATCTAATGGAGAAATAACATAGGGCCGACAAGAGGTCCCTTTTCTAAAATGCAATTTTTACGACACGCTTCAATAAAACAATTATTTAAATGAAACTTACACTGTGAGTTATGACAACAATTTGTATTGCTTCCAAAGAGGACATTATAAGTTTTCTTTTGATACCATAATCGTTTTCTTAAATACGAAAAACACCGTATTTATGCGTATTTGAAATTTTCAAAACAGTTTTTCTCAAAATGACCCTTTTCCAAAACAAAATTTCAAAGTCCTATAACTTTACCAAAAAAAATCATACACCACTTCGACCAATCGACTTGCACTAATCGATTCGGAATTCAATAAGGAATTCAAATACATATAAAACTCAAAATAGAAAATTCCCGACAAGAGGTCCCTATTCGTTTTCCACATCACATTTGAATAACATTAGTTTAACAGGTACTTAGGTTTACTGGAAAAGGAAGGGGAAAATAGTTTTTATTAAAGGTTAATAGTATAATATGAAATAAATAAATTTTCAAAATTTTTCCAAAATATGTTCATAAACATGCAAAACTACAATATTTTACGTATTCTCCATAAAAATAACATGGAAATTTTAAATTTACAATTTTTTGGAATTTTATCTGTAACTATTACGCGCGTAACAATGCTTCTATATAGTAAATTATTTATATTTGTTTTCAAGCTCTTCAAAATGGTTTGGAAATATGGAATGGCAAAATTTCTTTTTTTTACGGCCAAAAGAGGGAAAACTAATTTTTACCCCATAAACCTCCGTTCCCATAGTCCGATCATGCTGGTTCGCGAACTAGTTCGAATGAATGTAGGTTTACACGTTTGTACCAAACTTCATCGAAATCAGATCATTTTTCCCTTTCCCCCCTGCCCCCAACTTATTTTAGCGAATTTCCCTATAGGAAAGTAGCTATTACCGTAGGAGGCATGGTAAGACCTAGACCCGGGACCGATTGTGTGTTTGTCCGTGAACACGATAACTTGAGTAATTTTTATCCGATTTCGATGAAATTTGGTTTGAAGGTGTAAGGCGGGATAAACTTGAATGAGTTCGCAAACCAGCATTATCGGACCATGGGAACGGGGTTTTATGGGGGGTTTTATGGAGTAAAAATTGGTTTTTCTAATTTTTGACCCTCTAAACGCAAAATTTCCCGATTTCTCTTCAGACCTCCTTAAAGAGCTTAAAAAAAAACAAATAATTAAGTATATCAAAGTGTTTTTGTACAATTATTAGTTACGGAGAAATTTCAAATAATTGTTATTTTCCATGTTATTTTTATGGGGAATATTGTAAAATGTTGTAGTCTCAGTCTGCTTGTTTATGGATATATTTTGATCAAACTTGGTAAATTTATTTATTTTATACTAAGTCATTAATATTTCACTAAAAACACACTTTTTGACCTGTAGCAGCAAGCCTATGTACTCATAAACATTAATATTAATTAAATAAATTTAATTGAAAATCAATTCAGGCAACTGGAAATTCGCTTAGTCGGCAGGTTTGCTGCGGTGGGGGTATTTTTTAATAGCAATGTACCCCTTGTGACATATCAAATGAAAGAGCATGAAAAAATAAAATGTTTAGTGAAAACAAATTTTAAAATTGGCTCATAAATTTGTGAAATATCCCCCTTCCCGGAACTTATTTTTTTAATAGCAATGTACCCCTTGTGACATATCAAATGAAAGAGCATGAAAAAAGAAAATGTTTGGTGAAAAACCAATTGAAATCGGCTCTTGAGTTTGTGAAATAATCCTCCCCTTCCGATAACTTTTTTTATAATAGCAAGGTACCCCTTGTGACATATCAAATGGAAAATTAAATTCACCAAAAATTTTCTTTTTTCATGCTCTTTCATTTGATATGTCACAAGGGGTACCTTGCTATTAAAAAAATTAAGATCCGGGGTGAGGGGGGGGGATATCTTACAAATTTATGAACCCATTTTCAATTTTTTTCATCAAACATTTTCTTTTTTCATGCTCTTTCATTTGATATGTCACAAGGGGTACCTTGCTATTAAAAAAAATTAGTTGGTGGCAGGGGGGAAAGGGGAGAATGTTAATGTAATGTTGAATTCAAAATAATTGGGCCCCATACGTCAATAGATGATTCCCGCAAACTGCATATTTCTATCTATTGCGGTTTTTACATAAATAAAGATGCAAGTTAAAAAAAAAAAACCCTGTATGTAAATTTGAACGGATCGTGTTTTTGGCCTCTAGGGATCTCAAAATAAAAAAGTAAATCGGTCCTGGGTCCAGGTCTTACCATGAGTAGGGTACTACGTTTTTAGCTTATTTCCTAAATGGGAAATCCGATAAAAAACTAATCACAGTAAACCTGCAATCGAAGTTAATTTCCGTTAACCTGGCTGAATTTCCACTAAAATAATTCCTTACAATTAATTATTGTCATATTTATTTCCTGTTTAGATAATATTGATGTTAATGAGTAGCCTACCTGTGGTTACTGCTACAAGGAAGGTAATGGATTGGGATTTTATTGGAAGTTAATAGCTTCGTATGAAATCAACTAATTTGCCAAATTTGATTACATAATATCCACAAACAAATAAACTACAATAGGTAGTTTATCTATTCTCCATAAGAATAACATGTACATTTTTCATTTCATTTTTTAACTCCTCCGTAATTATTGTAAGGCATACAACAACTCTTGAATATGTTAAATTATTTATTTTTTAAGCTCTGTAAAATGGTTTGGAAATTTTATGATTTTACGATTGACAATTAGAAAAACTGTACTGGATATGTAGAACTGAGTTTGGACTTGTAAATCAAGAGGAAATGTGACTATGTTTTTTTTTTTATAGCTTTAGTTTTATTGACTTGGCCATTTGTGAATTACTGGACGGCTCAATAAATCTTGAATCATGAACCCAAATTTTACCTCAAAAACCTTTAAGCCCCGCCCGTTCTCATAGTCCTATCATGCTGGTTCGTAAGCAAAATCGTTCAAATAAACGTAGGTTTACACGTTTGTACAACATTTATTCGAAATCTGATAATTTTTGCTCGATTTATTGAGCTCTAAACTGACACATAGCCTATTAATCTTCCAGTTATAGAGGACTTGAAAGCATGGGTTAGATCACTCTGAGTTAAATACGATGGCAAATCAGATCCATCTGAATTGTGTACCGTTATGTTACCGTAATGTAAATTTTGTTCAGAAATGGTACAATACACATAAGATGTTTTTGGTATACAACTGCAGATTTTTTTAAATTACACTTTATTGTTAACGTAAATCTGTTTCGGGGTTGTGTTCAAATACTGTTAGGTTTGTTCTTAAATTTTCTTTATTTATACGATTACTTCAAAAACAATTTTAAACAATGTTTTTAACAACAGGGGAAAATATCACCTAGCTATCATACCTCACAACCTTATTTAAGAAAACATCTGACACCAAATGTAAATAGCTTATGGCATGTAGTATAAGGAGTTTTGTATATGTATTACTGTAATTGACATAACCAATGCATGTAAATCTGGTTAAATAAATGACTTATGACAGCGTTATGTGCTTACCATACAGGGGGAGGCACGGACGCCTCGGACACGGCCGCCTTTAACTGTAGTTAAAGATGGCCATGCCTCGGCCGGGGGGGGGGCGGGGCGGTTTAGACTTTATGCAGCGTCCTGCGTCACTTATGGGAGGGAGGGGTTTGAAATTCCGGATAACGCGTTACGTACGTAATTGATGGTGCCTTGCACGTCAGCATAATTAATTAATATCTAAGACTATCGTAAGTTGATAATTTGCAACGTCGGTTATTTAGGATGTCGGTAAAATGGGAATATTTCAGTGTCGACCAAATGGGAATAATTCAGTTTCGATCAATTTCTATGGTTGTCGATAATTTGGAACCCACCCGTAAAAACGGGGTTTACCAAAGATGAAATAAATAATTTAACAGCTATATAAATTAACAGTGACATATCAATGCCAACACAAATAAATTAAATTGTTTAGCTGTTATATCGTGTTCGCGTACATTTTTAATCGTAAATTTATTATAATTCTTGATTATTAGATTATACGTGCTAGCACTCTATTGGTACCATAATCTATTAACCTGTAGTTCCACCTT